GCTGCCACAGCAGATGTGGATGCTCGGCAAGGATCAAAAAACAACAAAAAAAAAAGCAAACCAAAACAATGCGGGGGTGAGGCTGGGGCAATGGGGCACATCACTTCTAGCAAAGATTTATCAAGTGGGAAAAAAACGCAAAATAGTATCATACCGTGAAGAAGCAGCTCAGACCAGAGAAAAAGAACAAAGAAGAAAGAGAGAGGAGCAAAAGCAAGCAACAGAGAGAAAGAGAGGAAGAGATGGAGAGGAAGAGAAAAGGAAAGGAAAGACAGAAGAAGAGTGCACGAGCGAGAGTCAGAAAGAGCAGAGGGTCAAGGCAGACTAGTAGCACGGCCCTTTATGGCAAGGACGCGTCGTGGAAGGCAAGGGGTGAGCCCAGGCACGTAATTCCATAACTTTACCCGGCAGTCGCTGTGGCACAGATGGGAAGTGGGGAGGAGGAGAGACAGAGAGAGACAGAGAAAAAGGAAGGGACATGATCGAAAAGAGGATATCAGAGTCTTGCTGCCCAAGAGCTCCCCGAGAGCAGCAGGGGATGCCCAGCCCCAGGGAAGAGGGGTCCCTGCGTGGGGGATGACCCAGGGTGCCACCGGCGCGGGGCGGGGAGCGGCCGGGCGATGGCTGCTGGCACTGCAGCGGGCAGGTGCGTCACAGGACGGGCTGAGGTGGGCGAGATGAGACAGAGGAGAGGAGGGCCTAGAAAGCTGCATGACTCCCCCCTTCCTTCCTTCCCTGCTCCCTGCCCGCTCAGCACAAACCCACCCAGGCACGGGGGTGACGGTTCAACCCAGGGGTCTCCCACCTTCTGGGGGCGCTGGGGGGGCAGAAAGCCTGGGGCTCACCTGGAGGCAGTGAAGATGTGCTTTGAGTTGGTGCAGATGGCGTTGATGGGGCTGTCGTGCCCTTTGATCTCCCCAACCGGGGTGAAGTTATCCACGTTCCAGACTTTGATCATGCCTCCTCGGCAAGCGCTCAGCACCATGGGGCGGCCGGGGATGAAGGCCAGGGCACAGACCCAGTCTTTGTGGGCGTTGGGGATTTGCTGTAGGTGTGGGCACAAGAGCAGAGATCGTGACCGACCTCACCTGCAGCACCACCAGCAGCCTCCCCCAGCCCACCCCAGAGGCTCAGGTCCTCACTGGGCTGGTGATGCACAGTTAGGAGGCCAGGGGGATGGATTCAAAATGCAGGGCTTGGTTCTTCCCCTGGGTGGGAGACAACAATCCTGTCTTCAGAGAGGGACACGACACTCAGCACCGCAAACTGACACTGCAGCCGGTGTGCCCTGGCAGTGTCCTGCCACACAAACTCCCTGGGTATGGGGTCACCTCACACACAAGTTGTTGGGTTCCCAGGAGCAGGAGTGTCCTACCCAGGTAGCTCAGTGCAGGCCACTGGCACCCGGTCCCTGTACAAAAATCCCCAGAGCCCTCAGCATCAACCCTCCTCTGCCCCCGGTCACACCGAGGACCTGCGTTGTCTGCTCCCCTCCAGACCTGGATGAGTTCCTGCTGCTCCAGATCCCATTTCTTGATGCCGTTGTCACGGGAGCCGCTGAAGAGGACGTCTCCCTGAATGGCCAAGCACTCGATGCCATCATAGTGAGGGGGCTCAAAGTTGTGAGTGGGGCCAATGTTGCCCACCATGCCCTCGGCAATCTCAAACACCTGGGGAAAACAGTGGGTAAAAGACCCTGGATGGCACTGGAAACGGAGTTGGACTCTCCCGGAGAACTCGGCCATCACCCTCTGTTTTCTAGGCTCAGGACACCCGAAGTGACGCTGGAAAGGGGAATGGGTATTGGTCAGTGGAGGCGTTTCTGGGCCTGAGGTCTCTCCAGGGGTCCTGCCACCAGTAAGGAGGTGTGCCACAAGAGACAGCCCCCATTCTGCTGCATCTTACTCATGTGAGCTTTCACACACCGCCATGAGCCAAGCCAACAGCTTGCACCTGTCAGAACAGCAGAATCCTGCCTCCCTCATCATCTCGCCATCTCTTTTCATTCCCTTGGTGCCAGCTCCAGTCCGATTTGCTAAAAACCACGAAAAACCTAAAAGGAAGGTGCAAGCTCTTGCTGTGCTGGAGCTGTGAACGAGCAGGCACAAAGCATCTCTATCAGGGGGAGAATCGAGCAGAACAGGGCAAGCTGCTAATCTGGGTCAGCCCTAAAATGCAAGTACCAGTCACAGAGCCCGAGGGATGAGCGAAACGCAAACCCATCTCCCCAGGCTAATTTGCATTGTGGACCCAACAAAAGGCAAGATTTGGGATGAGCAGATACGCAAAAGTGCAGAGGTGAAAACAGAATCTGGGCTTAGATTTCACGGTGAGAGACGAGACCTCAGGGGGTGCCAAACATCTGGGCTTCCCTACGGGACATGGGGCTGTGCTCCCCAAGGAGGACGGTACCTTGACGTAGTGATCTTTGGAGCCTGTGACCACCAGGTCGTGGTTGCTCGCTGTCTGGTTTACTGTGAGACACATCACCGGCCCGATGTGGCCACTCAGTTTCCCGACGGGCTGCAACCTGAGTGCAAAAACATGGGTCAGCCAGCACCTTCCCGGGCAGAGAAACCCCCAAGGCCCCGGAGCCCCCCCATAGGGGTTGGCCCCATGGAGGGGGTGGGAGCAGGGACACCCCACTTCCTAGTGATGCGGGGGAGTGAGCCAGCCTCAGGACACACCAACATCTGGCTACAGAGCTGAGGCTGCAGCACGGGGTCAGCAGCCCCATGCTCACCCAGGAGGGAGCGGGGCAGAGGCAAAACCATCCTGCTGCTCATCCCTCGTGTCCTTCCCTTTCTGCTGAGCTCAGCCCAGCTCACGGACAAACCCCTCACCCCAAGTAGCTCCACTGCTGCTCATCACCCCATAGGAAAAGGTCCTGGAAGTCCTTATTCCAGGCAACTTCCACTGCTAAAAAGACTTTCACTTTCCCCAGCAGGGAGTCATTTCAGGCCCCTCTGAGCAGACAGTGACCGCTTGGCATCCGTAAGCTCTCCTGTCCCCCCCAGCACTGACCCTCACCTGCTCAGCTCCCAGATGCGGACGGAGTTACCAGCGGCGGCATAGAGCGTGGTGCCCGTGGGGTTGAGAGCAATCTGGTTGATCTGGTGCTCCCCCTGCACGCTGGTGACAGTGCGGGTGGTGGTCCCGGCACACGCGTCCCCAGAGATCACCTGTCCGGAAGATCTAAAGGAGAGAGAGGTCAAGAGCAGAGGATGAATGGAGACCGGAGCCACCAAGGTCCCGCTGAGGAACCACCCGGGGCTGTGGGACCCAGGCGGGCACGACTTGGTCCCACATTGTGGGAATGAAAGCTGTCCCTGCTCACTGCAGGGGGGTTGGACTAGATGACCTCTAAAGGTCCCTTCCAACCCAGCCACTCTATGAATCTATTCTATGATCATTTGAGCCCTGTTCCAGACCAGCAGACCACAGCTACAGCCTGTCTCACACTCCTTTCTCCTCCTCAAACTCCTCACGATCGGAGTTTTGCACTAGAGAACCTGATTTACTCAGCCACGATGCTGTTACGGGCTGTGTCACCACTATGGAGCTGCTGGCTCTCTTGGCCACCCTCGGAAGTAGCTGCAAATCTCTTCAAAGCTCTTCATGCCAAGTCTTCGCTGCATTTCCCCTCATCTCAAGCTCTCTCCTAACCTCCCCGTTCCCTAAGGATGCAAACTGGCACTAAAGCAGCAGGTACCTGGCCCCGTCCCCAGCCCTGGCAGGTCCTGGGATGGCTTCTTGAAAGCCACGGATGCCCAGAGTGCCCCTCAGCTCCTCCTGCCTGTGACATACGTGAGGGTGCGGATGCACCGGGCCGAGTCACGGATGTCCCACACTTTGATGTATGACGTGGACACGGTGAACACCAGCCCCGTGTGGCTGCAGTACTTGATGGAAACCACGTTGTTCGGGTGACTCTTGAGGGAAGCGATTTCTTGGCCCGTCACCAGGTTCCACATTTTGCAGCTGCGGTCTGTGGGAGGAAAAACATGCCCGAGAGTGTCAGGCTGAGGTGGGCAGGGAAAGGTGTCTCCCTCGGAGAGCATGGTGGCTTGGGGGCAACAAGCACCACCTCCCCCCATCCACAGAGCCAGAGGAAAGGAGCCAGCCAGCCCCATTGGAGAGGCTCAACACTAAGGAGAGGAAAGAAGCCCGGGAGGAACCGTCCCCACCGTGCCCGACCCTTCACATATCCCCCCATGCCACCTCGCTCCCCCAGCACCTGCAGCCAGCAACCCCGTGCCCTCTCCGTCCATCTCGTACCTTTGGAGCCAGTGAAGAGGAGCTCGTCGGTGGCATCCAGGCAGAGCACGGGCTTGGTGTGTCCCTCTGCCATGGAGACGCACTGCAGCGGGGCCGTCCGGGCGTTCTTGGTGCCGCCCACTGGGTTAATGATGCCCCTTGCGTGGGAAAGAAAGAACAAGCTTGGTGGAGCGTGCATGGACAGTGCCAGGGGCAGGGGGGAGCAAGAGCTGCCTCCTGCTGAGCATCTTCCACCGCCCGGCAGCGCCATGGGTCCCTCCATCTGAACCCAGCCTGTCTGAGCAAAGGTTTTCGTGGAAACCCTGGAAGCTCCAGGAGCAGCCCCTGCCTACTGCCTCTGTCCCAGCAGCACAGATGGGGAAAGGGGGAGATGCCCAGTGGCCTCTGCTCTCCAGCTGAACCTCTCCTGCCTGACCAGCACAGCCCCAAGGGGCCAGGAGACCCAACTCATCAGTCCTTGGGTCAGCTTGGGACAAACCGCACCTTCTCCAGCCTGAAGCTCTGCTGGGATAAATGATTCAGGTACCAACGCCCAACTCCCCAAGTCCTCTAGAGGTGTCAGCCTGTGGCTGGGGGGGGTTGGGGACCGGGGTCCGTTATCAGAGCCCAAGGTTGACAAAGGCCAGCGCTGGCATTTGCACCCAGTGCCCCTATCGCACTGGCTATGGAAGTCCCGCACCCACCGCTGGCTCTAGGCAGGAAAGGATCTATCCCTGCCAAACCTTCCTCCAAGGGACGCCTGCTGCCTGTTCCTCTGGACACAGCATCTGGCAATCCCCTCCCCTTCAGCGGCGCTCGGGGTGCTGAGGACCAGCAGCCCTACCCTTCCAGACCCGAGCGTGCACGGCCACCAACAGCCCCAGAGCACAGCCTCCCGTGGCCACCGGGCCCTGGGTTGTGCTACTCTCTTCTTCAAAGCAGGGAAACTGAGGCACGGGGCTGCAGAAGGGCAGGCCTGAGGCCACGTCTGGGGGAGGAACTAAATGACCTTTAAAGGTCCCTTTCACCCATCGCATTCTGTGAGGACAAGCCCAGGCTCATTAATTTGGGTTTGGGAATCACAGGCACGTGATCTATCTTCCTCAGTTCACGCTGACAAACTCCAGTTAAACAGCCCTCCCCTGACCCACGGAGGTCCTGCCAGTCTCGAGGTGACACTGAACCTAAATGGAAATCCTGGCTCCTGGGGGTGAGAGGTTTCGGCAGACTTTGCGTTCCTGCCTGACTGCAAACCAGACTCGCCCGGTGCCACCTCCGCAGGGACCAGGTGCCTGCGGGCACCTGGGTGCTGCAGGGCTGACGTTCCTGAAGGATGGGGGAAAGGCAGCCCTTGTGTAAGAACACCTCGGGAGGCAGGAAAGTGCAGTGGGACAAGCCCAGGGGCACCTAAACCCCAAAGCTGGACTCCACACCACGACCTGACTTGCTTTCTCTGGGGAAGAGATCAACCTGCCCACACCCCAGCACCAAGCCAAGACAATCAGGTGTGGGGAGCACCTGGAGACACTTGTCTGGAAGCTGCTTTCGAGAAAGGCATACCGGGGGTGCCCAGCATTGCTTGCCCCCTTCCCCAGCATCACACTGTCCTGCTGGAGAGCTAGGGAACGGGACGGGACATGGTGGCATCATGCTGACGAGAACCCACCAGAGATAGAGAACATGCTGCTGCCCCAAGCCAGCTCAGAGGTGAGCCCAGCACCGCGTTTCCAAGAGCTGTCAGAGCCAGGAACGGGTCAAACTTGCAACCGAGGGGGCAGTGTCACACGCTGGAGGTGGCATGCCAAGAGGGGACAGCGCACAGGAGCTGGGAGGTGGGGGAGAGCAGCAAGGTGCAGGTGGAGCATGTGGGGACAAGGGAGAGCAGACTCGTGAGACAGAGAGAAGGAGGAGAGGAGGAAGGGGTAATAAATAGAAAGTTGTCTATACCTCAGCACCTCCGAGACAGAGGAATCGCTGTCATCAGACCTAGGGGCAGAAAATTAGCAGGATTATGGGAGAGAAAACCCAGACTAGAAGAGGCAGCAGAGGAGTCAGAGATGGAGGATTGTTATTGCATCCAAGCCAGTGTAGGACAGAGAGGAGGAGGAGGGGAGAGAGGGAGAAAGAGAAGCACGTGTGGAGAACCAGGGGAGAGAACAGAGGAGCAGGAGGGCATGTGAGGGTCACACAGCAGGTCTCCATCAGGCAATGTCAGCACTGCGAGCACTGCTCCGAGCCGAGGGCAGCCACCCGACCTGCTGCAGGGGAGGCTGGAACCACGCTTGTGGGTCGGTGCCTGTCCGTCAGCTTCCTGCGAGCCCCCCGCCGCCTCACCCCATCCCTCTCTGCAGCCTTTCCCAGTGATCCAAGCCCAGCCAGGACTGCAAGCTCCTGCAAGTCGCCAGCTCAGAGGGGACATTCACCTTGAGTACTGTGTCCAGTTTTGGTCACCACAGTACAAGAAGGACATTGAGGTGCTGGAGCTGGTGCAGAGAAGGGCAACAAAGCTGGTGAAAGGGCTGGAAAGCACGCCCTATGATGAGCGGCTGAGGGAACTGGGTTTGTTTAGTCTGGAGAAGAGGAGACTGAGAGGAGACCTTATTGCCTTCCACAACTACCTAAAAGGAGGCTGTAGTGAGGCTGGTGCTGGTCTCTTCTCTCAAATTAGTAATGATAGGACGAGAGGGAATGGCCTCAAGTTGCGCCAGGGTAGGTTTAGATTAGATATTAGGAAGAAATTCTTCACTGAGAGGGTAGTTAGGCACTGGAACAGGCTGCCCAGGGAGGTGGTGGAGTCGCCATCCCTGGAGGTGTTTAAGGAACGAATAGATGTGGCGCTTGAGGATATGGTGTAGTGGTTAGAGAAATGCTGGGAAAAAGGTTGGACTTGATGACCCTGGAGGTCCTTTCCAACCATAATGATTCTGTGATTCTGTGACATGCAGCAGATGGGGCAAGGGTCCAGCACGGCCCTCGCAGATCATCTGCTCCCTCCTGGAGAGGAGCGGGGAGTGACAATGGTGGCAGGAGGTTGGCTAGAGCCGACCCAGCTCCCGTGCTCCTACAGTCCCCCACAGGCCCTGGTACATGCCGTTGCTGTTACGGTACAGGTCCCCCTCACCCGGACCCTCCTGTCCCACCACGACTTACTTATCCAAGGCAGACCCCTGGCTCTGGTTGCTCGTGAGACGGGAGAAGACATTGCGGTCGTTGCGTGGACGGGTGGGCGGGGATGAGGGAGGTGTGAAGCCCACGTCTGGAGGCCTGAGACAGGAAGTGTTAGAGGGACGCGTGACTTGAGAACTGCTCACCTGGCAGCCGCCTGGACCGCCAGGGCCCAGCAAGAGCGAGTCCCATTAGCATCTCTCCCTCCTCATCCCGGCCACCCAGCCTCTCCCTGCCCATGTCACCATTTCTCCAGCTCCCAAGCTCACCTGGCAGGTTGCCCACGGTCGTAGGATTTCCTCCTTGTCAGAGGTGAAGTGTCTGAGCCACGAGATTGCCTGGGACTAAAGCAAGTTAAACAGAGCACAGTGGGTGCCTGATCCCCGCTGGGGCCTCTCCCTGCTGCACACCCATGCCCTTCCCCAGCAAACAGAGAAGTTGAGCTGCCCTGGAGTCATGATCACAAGATCAGAGGATGCCTCGAGTCATCCCAGGAACGTGGATGCTTTTGGCAACCTAAGAACCCTTGCATGCCCCCCTTCTTTCCCTCCTCCTGAAGTACCCTTCCCTCCATCTGCAGAAGATACCAACATACTCCTACACAATCTCCCCAGTTCTGCTGGAGAAACCCACCACTGCTTGCTGCAGATGAGCCTGGAGAGGTGCAGGACTGGGCTCACTCTCACCACTCTGCAACTCCACGGCCACAGCACAGCTTTCCAGCTGCTGGCCCAGGCCTCCCTGACCTCCCAGCGCCCATAGACCCACTGCCCGCTGCTCACAAGGTGCTTCCTCGTGTGGGCAGGCTGATGGTGCGCGACACCTTCTCTTTGTAATAGGGATCTCTGATGGAGAAGCTGATCCCATCCTCTTTGATCTCCACAAGGGATGCCAAGGACTTGGTGATGTTCTTGGTGGAGGCGTCCAGCGTGGGTCCTAGGCACTCAGCCGACACTGCTTTCATCTGTCCGGAGAGCTTGGGCTCTCCCTGCAAGAGGGCAGAAGGCTCAGGCACAGGCAGCACAGAGGGAGGCTGCCAGGAGTGGCCAGAGAGCTGTGGGGTGGAAAAGCTTGTGCCTTCCAGCCACAGATGGGCCAAGTTCCCTTGTATTGTGTCGAGATGCCCGTCACAGGGCCAGCTCTCCGTTCTCCAAGCAAACGTGACAGAGTGTCCCAAACAATGGGCACTTTCCTCCCACTTTTGCCGACAACGGGTGCAGCACTGCACAGGGATCTCCTTGGTGTCCACTCAGATCTGGAGGACATTGGCTGATGTCTCTGGTGTTCCAGAGGACCACGGCAGCAGGAGGCTTTGGTAACCCCTTGCCTAGAGCTGCCTCCACCCCGACACCAGCCCTACCGCCCTTATACCAGGCCAGA